ATTCCCAAAATTTATTACTATTCTTTTTCACGCCAATTCCATATAAGTAACAAATAGCAGTTCTAAAAATTCCTTTGGAATTACCGGCATCAGCAGACTTCAAATAGTATTTAAATGCTTTTTGCTTATTGATTTCAGTTCCAATCCCTAAATAGTAACAATAACCAACTTGATACATTCCGTTAGAATTTTTCATGCTTGCTGATTTTTGATAATAAATGAATGCCTTATTCTCATCCTTTTCAACTTTAATTCCATATTCATAACAATAACCAAGCCAATAAATTCTGTCTGAATCATTCATATCTGACAAATTTTGACAATCAATGAAGTCAAGTTGATTAAGATCATTGGTAATTTGAGCAATATCTTTTGTTAATCGTTCTTCCATTTTGTTTTTTTTTAAAAAAAGGACGACAGATATTAATGCATATTTATTATTACCAGTGGTTATACAACAATTAGCATGAAATGCGCATTGTCATAGGTAAAACCCGTAACGTCAGCCGAATCGGTAGTACGAATGACGATCCACCTGAAACTTATGCGCCAGGCCCCCGATCGAGACCTTACGATCGAAGAACCAAGCCCCAACGTGGAAACCTACCACCCAACCAAATAAGGGAAAGGTCGATCGAGACTTACCCGTTCGCATAGTGACAGCTGGAATTGGGCGTTAGCTCAAGTTTATTCTATTTTGGATAAATGTGAGGCAGTGGCAAAGGAGTGCGATTGTGATAATAATGTTGGGATTTTACCACGAGAAAATTGGCACCGAAATATTTTTCTTCTGTTCTATTTCGACCGTGAGAAATGCTAAGTGACGAAAAGCTGTGTATGGAAGGGTTGAAGTTAGTACAAATAAGGTGAAACAAGGCTGGAATTCAATGTAAGGAAGAAAAGCTTCGGTCTTGTACTTGTTCTTACAGTAATTTTGTTATAAATAGAGATGGAATTTACCTTTGTAAAACTAAGAGAGTGTGCCCCCTACATAATAATCTCGATAATAAAGATCCTTTAATCCACTGAACAATAAACACTCTTTAAAGTCCCTGTCCTTATCCGGTAACGCGTTCGAAAGCCGCCTTGGCCTGTGCCAAATCGTAACCGCTTCGCCTAAACTTTTGAGTGACGTTACGCGACATCAATGAATTCGAAGCGACAATTCGTCGCATTTCTTCTGTTTGTTGATGTGTACGTTTCCGCCCAATTAGCCTCTGACAGCATAATCATGCGCATGATGCGCATTTTTAAGGAGAAAACAACAGTAAAGACATATCGGTGTTTCTAGTTTTCTGCCTATTATGCAGATTTTAGAAGAATCATTTGTTATGATCCGCATCCTTTTTTTTGAAATAAAAGAAAAAAGGATTATCAGGGTGCAGTCCAAAATTTCCGGAAACGGGGTCCCTTAAAGTGGGGTAGATTTAATATATTGATCTACATACTGCATAAATTGTATTCTTGATATCCAAATAATCTACCAACCCTAGCTATATCAAAAAGGTAAATCTAAAAACATCAAAAACGCAACTTTTTTTAACCCGGCTTTAAGGACCCCCGGTCCAGACAACAAAAATGAAAAGTAAAAACGTCAGTCAACACTTATCTTGATGCACTAACGAAAAATGTCAGTAATGCAAATTTTACATATAAGAATCCTTCTAAACCCAACAAAACAGTTTATTATCCGGAGCGTAGCGGAGGATATTATGGGGAAATATTTTGGTAATTATGTCCGCACCTATTTTTAGATAGATGATCATCAATTAGCAACTATATCAATCAATAGATTTACTTTTATTTTTAACTACGTTCCGGATATCTAATATCTAACAGTAACTGTTTTTCCTAGTTTATAGTGCTAATTAAATAAGTAGTTCTAATGTCATAGGAAGACATTCGCGTGATTGGTTAATTTGTAGATCTACCCGTGATAATTAACCAATCAAAAATACATAATTTTTAATTAATATAAAACGAAAAAAAAACTTGGTATAAAGGAGCTTACAGACAATAAATATACGTACGCAAAAAAAAAAAAAAGTTTATTATTTATATTTAGAGAATAGATAGATGCGTGTAAAGTGGGTAAATGTGATATTTAATGTTAATAAACCCAACTCATTACATTAAAGAATCTATAAAATTTAACCCAAAACTTTAACTATTAATTTACGGTTGACAAACCCAAACACACTACAATAACCGACCAAATTTAATCTTAAGTCCGGATCTTTTACTACTAAAGAGCTTGCACCTACACAAATTAACAGTTAGAAATAAAAGTTTATTTAAATCTAACGTAATAAAAATAGTTTTAGACGAAAACGTTTCCAATTACCTTTACCATACAGTGTAATTTGTCTTGTCCAATTAACGGTAGGCATGTATTGTCTTCTAAGTAAAGTTCATGAGGTTACAGATTATTTTTGCATAGTAAATATAGACGTTCTATCGAAGCGAAAAATGGTTTTGCAGTGATTTTTTATTGGTGTTCCCAAAAAAGTGCTTTAAAGTATATAAATAAGTTACCCTATCATAATTGAATCCAACATAAATAATTTAATTTGTGATTGGTCACAGGCGAGAGGGATTCACTTTGGATCGGGGACTGTCTCTGCTGTATAGAACAACAGAGACAGTGCCCGATCCAAAGTGAATCCCTCTCGCCTGTGACCAATCACAAATTAAATTATTTATGTTGGATTCAATTATGATGAATATAATCCCTCACTAGTTTTAATATGTGTAACATTAACGGTCTCTGCTGTTCTATAACTCCCGTTGTTCACCCACCGATCACATGATACAACGGTCAATAAAACAGTCAAAATATTGAAGATTCTTTTAAGATTTTGAAATTTTTTTTTGATTCTAGCGAAGACTTCTCAGTAAAGAGTTGATTAAACTTAATTATTATTATTATTTTATTCTATACTTTTATAGCCTTAAAATAAAAAAAAATATTGAATTTGAATAGATGGGTGTTGAGAAATCTTTGTTAAAAGTTAAAAAAAAAAAACATTTGAATATCAAATATTTAAAAAATCAGAATAAATTTTAGCAATGGCACTTAGCCAAATCAACGTCAGGATCAAGGGAACGGATCCAAATGTCGTGTGCCCAATTCTACATAGGTCACGGTATCAATGTAAATACCATCATCATTACCTATTACTATATACATACCAATATCTGTGAAAGGCAATTGAGAGGTTTTTACCTGCATGGGTACAGGACTCTTTATGTATACAATAATAGGTTAAACCTGCAGAACGGTCAAAAGAGAATCTTTCTCCATATAGAATTAACCAATTACAGCAACTCCAACGGGAATGCACTCGCATACAATATCTTTACTTAGTATTAACCTATAATATTGTTAACATTATCGCTATATCAATATCGATATGCAAAATTTAAATTTAAAAAAAATTATTTGGTAGTTTGAAATTAGGGATGAAGCAGGGATGAAATTAGGATGATAAATATCATATGAACAAAAGACAAGTTCTGGAATAAGATTCTGCAAGATAAAAATAATCTAACACTAAGAAAAATAAGTTTAAATGAAAAAATATTAATAGTGTAATTAACATTAAGGGGACCACAAATAAATGCGTACGTATGAAAATTTATGAATTTACGGGGGTACGTACATATAAAATCCAAGATTCTAACCATTATATTGTCTGTATGTAAATAAAAGACTATAAATGAAATAAATTAGTACTAAATGAAATTACGTACTATTAGAAAAAAAAGAAAATTCATTATTTTTATACATTGGGCGTTAGACAAATCGGAACCACAAATAAGAACCGGAGTTTGGATACTTTTAGTATCAGTTGATATCGATATATATTAATTTGGTTTACTTTATCAACCAATCAAAGTAAACAAATCGCACACGTTCACAAACAAATATGAAATTACGTTTGAAGATGTAAAAATTGCGTATGTATATCACTTCTGAAGATTATTCTATGATGTTACTTTTAATAGAAATTTGGCTAGCGCTGGAAAGTCCGAAAAGATTCGGGAACTCCCCTTAATCTGACCACAAACAAATACAGAAATAAAAACCTTGTGATTAAGTTCCCATGTACAAAAATCACATTATTAAATTCCTTGTTACACGTAAAAGTTTTTTCGAAATACCAAGTCCAATGATCTTTTCGATTAGAATTACGCGTTAAATGATAAAGTATTGTTGTTATGTATTTTATTATTATTAGTAACGGTAACGCTTATATTTTGTTAAACGCGATTAAATTTCATGATATAATTTTGATTAATTGTATTCTTTTATAGAATTCTTTTTAATATTTATTAATTAAATTCTTTTTTTTATTTATTTATTGTATTCTTTTTATTATTAATGCAATAAAAAATAATTACAATGCCAAAATATTTGAAATTATTATGCAACAAAAATAGCACAATAACAAGAAACGAAAGACTTTTTTTTTCATTGTTCATCGTTTTAAATTTTTTTTTTTTTCGAAAAATTCCCAAATGTCCAGCGAAACAATCCTACAATCATCTTATGATCAAGTGACTTCTCACGGCGCAAAATGAAATCGCATTTCATTTTGTTCTAAACTGGAGGGAGCGGCAATTATACATTACATCTTGCAAAATTTTGATATAAACTATGCCCTGATCACTAACCCAACTTAATAGATATGAAACTGATTGACTAAGAAATAGAAGCAGACATAATTGCAAACAAAAATTTGTCTTGCTCCACCCATTGTCACCGCTATTGCCATCACTAAGTATAATTCATAATTAGGCCGCTTGCAGTTGAATTCTCGGTTAACATCATTTTTAGAGAGGAGGGGCCAATTTGATTGGTCAATGTAAATTAAGTGATAGTTAAGAGTTATCCAGCGTTTTGATTAGTTTTTCATTTTCAGAGGGACGAGGAAGGTAATGTTAACCGAAGAATTAACTTTGAACGGCCTAATTCATCATAACGCTTCAGAAGAGAATTAATTTACGGTTGAAGAATCATTGGAACGCGTAGAGTTTTTATTAGAATTATTAGACCCGTTGGAACTACTTGAACTACTACTGCTAGAACTGCCAGAACTAAGGGCCGAAAGACTAGTTTTCGGCAGGCGACCAGCTCTTTCATATATGGCCCGACGCTGCCTATGACGTTCTATTCTACGGTCTAATATAGTAGGGACGTGATATTCCAATAAAGTATCTTCCATTTCCATGGGCTCTTCGTTTATAGCGTTATCAGGGAAAATATATATTGATGGGCATTCGTTGCATAAATTTACTGGTAATATGTTTTGAGTCATTTTTTTCTGATTTATCTGATTTATTTTAAATAGGATTGAGTTGTGTCAATTTGAATTTACAATGTCTTTACGATTTATTTCAATTTATTATATATTTATATTATTATTATTTATATAACTTTTATTTTGTTGTAAATCTCAAGACTGAATATTGAGTGATGGGGGAAAGCAGATGTTTATATTTATATTTTTTTATTTATTTAGTCTATTCTATTTTTGGTGTAGTACAAAAAAAGCCTTATGTAGATTGAACGTTCTAAAGATTCTATGCAGAAAGACCGATTTAACAAAACTTCTGATTTGGGCCATATGGTAGTACAAGACCAATCACATCGGCATTTACAAAAATGAATTTACGGAGTTTGGGTTTCGTGATATTGTACTACGAAATATTTGATACAGTACGTACAAAGCTACTATTGAACCCCTTTGTCGCATTTAACGAATAATAAAAAATTATCAATATTGATAACTAAACGAAGGAGGTAATTTAATGATAATTTTTTGGCTGTTTAAATTACGACGGGATGTAAAACAAAAATCCACAAGCCCTTGTTTAGTCCAATAATAATCCTTGTTTAGTAGTTGAAAGGTAACGATTAAAGAATTTCTTTGCCCGTCGGGCTTTGTAAGGCTTTGTGGAGGCTTGCAACTACGCAACTCCGCATTTACGCACGTACGTGCGTACGTACGTACCTACCTACCTACCTACGTAAGTACCTAGCTACGTATACATTACGTACGTACGTACGTACGTACTATGTGTCGAATACGACCGTACGGAGACGACCGCCCCGTGAAATACGTATACAGAAAGTTGGGCTTATTTTTTGCCTTAAAAAAGAAATGAGTTAATTTAAATGGTAAATAACAATTCTAGATAACTTATAAGATTTATATCAATAAATCACTTCATTCTAATAACGATCAATCATTCTGATAAATCATTCTAATAAATCATTCAAATAAATCATTCTATGTATGTAAATAATCCTTTTCTGATCATGACAATCGAAGATCAAAAGTTATTTTTAAAAAAAAAGTAATTCAGAAAATTCCTTAAATGACTAATGATTTTATTAACAATAGTTTCTTATACTTCATTACTCATACAGAATAATTGAATCAATTTCAGATTTTTAATCGGTTAATTATCGGTTAATTGTCGGTTAATGGCTGAAGTAAATGTGCGCATATAAATATTATTAATAAGGGATTTTAATAAAAAATATATATTTGTTTATATTGTTAATAAAAATAATTTGATCATTTGAAAAAAAAGTACATTAATTACATTGTTTATTCAAAATCATAAGGACATGTTCTTCAAAATTATCCGTATTTTTGATTGATTCGCACTGGCCATGTTTACAACTATATATGCATGATAAATAACTTTGTTTTCTTATATAAAATTCTTTCTCAAAAAATCGCGTGTTTGTTAGTGAAACCTTATGCTTAATTTCACCGTTGAATAAATAAATGAATTGTGATTTGTACTAATTTTTCTAAATTATTCTTTAAATTGTTATACGTACGTTTGTACGTACGTGTGTACATAAAAAAAATATTATAAGTTACTTGGCGACTGGTAATGCAAATCTAGTGGTTATCATCACTTGCTTCTATATATGTAACATTTATGATTTGCATACAACGTTAACGCACTTAACACACGTATGTACGTATGTACGTACAAAAAAAATAAAAAATTAAGTCTAGAACAGAATTATAATGGTAATCTTTTTGGTATAACAAACTTGTTTCCCGGGTTCATTTCGTCTGCCGTAATAATAGTGATAGACCCGATCACTAAATTATAAATTCTAAACTGCGTATATCATTTCCGATATTGCATAAACTAATATAATTTCATATCCGATATGCATTATGAATTCCTGTAAATGTTCAAAAGCCGATTTCTAAATTTGTTGCATGCATATCGATACGAATTTCAGATGTCAATATCAAATAATGGAGTGATTTTTATCACTGGTTTTTATTTTATCTCTTGATTTTTATCCCTTGATTTCATCACTTGATTATCATCATCATCACCATATGGGTCGTATCGATATAATGTCTCATGATACGTAAAGTTTCTACATATACCTTTATCATACCTGATAACGTTAATACTGGATATATGTACACACATACTGACACATGTTTTAACAACTAATAAAATTGTCGCAACGTTAATAGGTTCTACGAATTTTTTAAATTCTCACTGGGTAAATTTTTTTTTAAAAAACTTTAATATTTTCTGGAAACCAGTATGACGTTACATTTACCAAACTTATTTTTAGTTTGATGATTTAATACACATTCGGCGAAACGATTAAACCGGGAATTAATTCCAGAAATGGTTAAATAAATTTTTAATATTTCATCATGTAACAGTAACAGTTCTAGAAATTTGAAAAGAATATCGTTTAACAATCATTTGGATGACAGATTATCCACTACTAACTTAATATGTAATCGTGTAATGTTAATCTGTGTTATTAATAACAAAGTTTTATATCTCCTTAAACTTTCTGGCGCATAATCGATTTTACTGGAATGAACAAATGAAATTACTCTTATTTGCTAAAAACCATGTGTTCAGTTATGTACGTACGTAACAGTATTAGTACGTATGTACATAAGTACGTATTGGTATGTACGTACGTACATATGTAAAATGCAATAACTGATAATAATAAACGTAAAGTTGCAATAATAATAGTTGCAATAATAATAGTTATAATAATAATAGTTGTAATAATAATAATTGCAAGGATAATAGTTGCAATAATAAAGTTGTGATTATTTGTACTGATAAAGTTCTAATAATAGGTTTAAACTAGAATATCAAGAAAAATTTTCTTTTAAGAAAGAATAAAATAGAATTCTTACATGTAAGTATACGTGTAACTGATAAGTGGTAACTACAAAGTAACTACGTACAAAGTAAATAGTTATTAAAAAAAGGCTGTTTATTTTCAATATTTGACTATGAAACTGAGACAAACCATTTTGGAATTAAAATGATCATAACTGGTTATACAGTATAAGCAATTTAGATAAAGCTAATCATTTTTCTTTTGTGCACTTGCATAATATCTCCATTATTACAAGAAAAATTGAATTTTAAGTCAAGATTATCTTAAAATATATTGATTTATTCCTCGAATGGTGAAAAAATTCGCTCAAGTCCGCTCGCTGGATCCCGAAATATCTTCGTCTGAATAATGTAATATCTTTACATCTTAATTTTTGATCGATAATCTTCACATCCAGATCTCTAAATTGGTGTCACTTATCGTTATGGTTATGAACTGGTTAAAAATCATAACGATGAGTCCATATAATTGGTTGGAACAAGACAAAGAAATATTTTTCAAGCCTTAATATACAGAATTTTTGGAATAGCCAACTTCTAGCTCAACTGGTTCTAATAGTTCAGTAGTCTGAAATTGGTCCTAAATTAGATTTAACGTTTGGGCGCAGAAATTCTGTTTAGTGACTGACCTTTAATAATTTGACTTTTGCAAAAAAAAAAAAAATTGCCCTTTTAAATATAGTAATCGACTAAAAAGTATGTATATAGCAACAAACATTTAAAATTTTAGTATGACTTTTAATAGTTTCAACACTGATTTATTGACTAACTACGCTAAACTTAACATTAAATATCAAGAATTAGGGGCTGAAAACCAGGTTCTAATAAATGGTCCATGCTAATTGGTCATTCAAGTTGATCATTCAGGATAATGATACATCGTATTAGCAATGAATTATAACCCTAAATTAAGTAAATATCACCAAGGAAACCCCCTAATACTTTTAAGATTTCCGGCAGCACTCATGTTTATTATCCTTCAAAAATATGTTTAGTATACAAATTTGGATGTTAAAAAATTAAAGAAAAATAAAATTTTATATAAATTTCATTTTAATTAGCTCTATAACTGGTTTCATTTACTTTACCAACTATTATCATCAGTATCATCATCAGTATTATCAGTATCAGTATCAGTATAGCATGACCGAAATCCCTATATGCACGTATGGTTACACAAGATTTTATATAATAAAATCATATTAGAGGAATATACGTCATAAGGTAACACACGAAGGACAGCCCCGTTTGCTATGAAATTTCACCAGTTTTTTCTTTTGTCGTTATATAAATATATTGTAGAGACTGATCCAAGTAATCCGCATTCTGGCTAACATTTACTAGGTGTACCTTTTTACTAGTAAATTGTTATAAAATAACATAAGTACACAAATAACTCGGAATCATGTTACTTTTTCATGCTTTTGGCATTTAAAATTTCAACAGCCAGTTCACAATGGACATTAAAGAAATTATATATTTATTAGTTTACATTTACCAAAAAATTATTTGGTCAATTTTTGCCTCTAATATAGACAAAATGTTAGAAATCCCTTTTATTTCCTCTGAAGTTTCTTCCTCCTCCTCTTTTTCAGTTTTTTCATTATCATCAAAATCCTCTGGCATAAGTTTATCTTCACCTTCAAGTCATTCCAAAAACTTATTAATATTATTAAAAATCACTTTTTTATAGAATTCTTTGCAATAATTACATTTTCTATTATAACATATCAAATAGTATCTGTAGTTACAAATAAGAACCATTTCATCTTCTTCACTGAATAGATGTTTACAATGATCGCACATATTTGGTTGGAGTAAGTATGATGAACTATAAGCAGTTGGTAAGCATTATAAATCCATGTTTTCTCCTAAAGTAGCAAGATGATAAACTTTCAGTTTTTGTTTTTTTTTTTTTAACTTTGGATCATTCTTTCCACAATTATAGAATAAATCTTGAAAGTATTTTAAGAGAAAGAGACTAGTTTTCTTATCCAAAAGGTTAAGTGTGAATAAGGTATATGGATATCACCGTGTCTTATGATAATTATCTTTAAATGCTAAATTATGGATTATTAAATAATTAAAAATAAAATATGTAAAATTAAAGCAA